CTTTTGAGTGTGGTGAAATGAACCCAGCAGTACATTAATGCTAGGATTTGAGCTCACACAGCGTGAGCGCTTTCAAAAACCGTGTTTAAGGAAGCAAACAGAGCTATGACAGACCCTTTCAGTGGAGCAAAAGGAGTTGGATGAAACAATCAATGACACATTAAAAACCACAACTGGGCTGCAATCATGTAGGCAGGAAAAAAAGTTTCTCTTTATCGCAGGATCTTTGCATCTAATGAGATGGTGACTGGACAACCTCCAGAGGAGTAAGGCCTCCGTTTACTTTAGTTGAGAAATGTCTAAATATTTAGTTGATTCTCTTAAAAGCCCTACACGATTCTGTAGCAAACTGGTCTCTAAGGTATGATCTTATCAGCTCTGCATTGCCATTGGAACATCTATTTAAAGGGAATTTGAAAAAGAAAAATCAGAAAATATTATTAAAAATACAAATGCTAACTTTTTCTCTCTCAAAATTAACTATTTTTAATACCCTTCAGATACTTAGTTTAGGACCAATACCTTTCCAGTTACTACTTTCTCTTAATTGGTTCTAAATTGAGAGAACCCTCGACTGGGCTCCCAGCTGGGCTCCCTCAAATTGTACTGGTTGAATTGAAAGTTTAGGGGTGCTTATGACTACTTTGAATGAACTGGGAAGGAATGGAAATCTCATTCAGAATGCTTCTTGTATATTCTTCATTTCTATTGGTTCTCATAGTGAAACCTACACTGTATGGTTTGGCATAGCCACTGCTCAGTGCTTGTGTCTCCATAGGGAAGTGGCTCCTGAGTGCATTTTCGTGGGAGTGGTAGGGAGAGCTAAGAAGGCTAAAGGAACTTTGTAAAAATGTCTCTAGGGGGTCGCCATTTGAATGCACAGTACTGTCTTCTACTAGCAGATTTTAGCTAAGACCAGCATTCAATTTGCTCTAAGTTTCTGGGATCTTCAGCACCACAACTCCTGTCCATTCTAGCTACGGCATCCACTGGGGCTTTAAACTCTTCCAACTTTCTGAGAGCAGAATCTCCTCCAGCTTGCGGTTCTTTACTATTGCTTCCTGTGGAGTATTATTAAGGCTCACCAAACTCTCCCCTCCCCCACTGCAGGAGGCCCGCGCAGCCCCGTCCAGCCAGCTTGATTAATGTGTCTTGGTTAATTGTGTGAAAGACGGCAGCCCTTTAGCAAGTGTGACCAGTTTATTGTTCAGCCAATCACGGGCCCCTCAGTTAGCATGTGAAAAGGGGGTGTACTGCTGGAGGAGGGTGAGTGTTCTGGCGGCTGAGTCAAAGGAGGAGCGTTTTGGGGGGTCACAGAGCAACACCCACTTCTTTGAGGGGATGTTACTATGCTCTACTAAACCTGTAAACCTCTAACTCAAAACACTTTTTTTCTCCTCCCTCTTTTTTCAAGATTTTTTTTTTCCCATGGTGCAAGCAGGCAAGATACTGGGTACTCTGCAGATGGAGTTCACGTTCCAGGGTTTTTAATATTTCACTTTTATATTTCTGTTAGAGAATGATCCTGCTGAGAGTCTGGGAATCCGTGCTCATCAGAACCCCCTCACTGACACTTGGATATATTGCTCTGAAAGCTATCCCAGGAGAAAAGATTAAACAAAAAAAGCGCCTACTTTTCAAAGCCTACTTTTCAATCTGCCCACATCAAAATAAGACAACTGGCCCTTTGAAGTGGAGGACACAGAGTTCTCAGCCAGCTTGCTTAAAACGGGGAGTGGGGGAGACAGAAAGAAAGGAAGGAAGAAAGGAAGGGAGGGAGGGAGTGAGAGAGAGAAGGAAGGAAAGGAGGGAGGGAAAGAGAGAGAAGGAATGGATGGAGGAATGGAGGGAGGAAGGGAAGGGAAGGGAAGGGAGGAAGGAAGGAAGGAAGGAAGGAAGGAAGGAAGGAGGGAAGGAGGGAAGGAAAGGAAAAGTAAGTTTCCAAAATCACACAACCCTCTTACCTTGCCCAGGTTTAATCAGGCTCTAGAATCTGAATTGATGGCTAGAAAACTTACAACCCCGCTCATCAAAGCTCCAAGAAAACAGTTAACTGTCAGAGAAATCTGTCTGGCTGGGTCAGCATCAGGTGACTTTTTAAAAGCTGTACAAATGGAAACTTTGCTGTCCTCCTAGAGGTGTCCAGATAAGGCCTAGAAATGGTGGCATGGGTGTAGATGGACACTGGATGGTTCTCCCAAGTTTCGGACAATTGGACTCCCTCAAAATTGTACTGGCTGATTCAAAGTTTGGGGGCTCCTAGGACTACTTAGAATGAAAAGGAGAGGAATGGGAAGCTTATCCAGAATGCTGCTGACACAGTGCTCATCTGTGACACTTTCCTGGCTCCCAGCTTGTCTTCTGTTGCCCTTAATCATTGACATTCAAGTGTGTAGAAGCCACAGTAGCTCAGGGATGGGGATGGGTAGGAGGTGGCTCAAAAGGAACTTATTGACTCATGTAAGGGGATGTTCCTGAAATGCAGATGTTGAAGACCCTTTTAAAACACAGTCCTTGGGATTGAGTTATCGATAGTACTGACCCCATGGCTCAAGATAGGCTGGACTTCTAAGATTTCCAAATCCAGGTTTAGACATCTTGGCTGTGGCTAAGGTTCCAATTCCCTTTGCTCCATAAGCTCAGCCTGGCCCACAGCCACAAACTCCTCAAGCTATGGAAGCAGGGCTCACAAATGAGCACCCCAGTAACAAGGAGAACTGGTGAAAGAGTGTGGATGAATGAATCCAAACTTAAACACCAGAGATTCAAGAATGGACCCTCTCCATCTATGTAGCCCCAGCACATGGCACAGCAACTGACAGATAGTAGGTGCCTGAAAATGTGTGACCTATTCGAATTAAATTGAAAACTTAAAAGAAAAACAATGGATGATGCGCCCTATGGACGCTGGGCCTGGAGACTTTTCTTCTTATATAGAAAACCTGCACATTGTTTTGAAACAACAGGAAATTTTTAAAAATACAACATATTTTCTCTGTTTTATTGGAACCCAGTTATCTTATTAAGCACACAATCTGGCAGGGAAGCACTTTGGCCAAGTTTCTATTATTACTGCTCTCACCAAGACATTTTGTATTAAGGATCACTGTTGATTGCCTGAACCAACCTGAAACCCAAATGTCTGAAGTTTGGGAGAGCAGCATATGCCCACCACAGTAGCTTTGTGTTGGCATCATCCAAATTGTTTTCTACAATCCATCTGTGACTCTGAACTTCTCCTGGCATCCTCAGTTAGGAAGCTGAGGGAAAATAGAGAACAGAGTGGACAGGGAGAAGTACAGGCAGGGCAGGAAAAGATGAGAGCCAAGTTCTCCTGGAAACCATGGCAACTGGAGATAGGAGCAATTTGCAGACTGGACCATGGCTCCACAAGAAACTTGTTCTTTTTTCTCTATCTCAGACCAATGGAAATAGGCACTATTCCAAGCCCTGTGACCAGAGAATGGCACTTTTCTCAGGTGTTAAACTCTAGAAAAATAGTTAGAAATCATAAACCATTTGCAAATGATTTTAAGGCCTTTAGTAATGGATATAACCATTCACACAGCAGCAGAAAGGACTTTACAGTTAGTCTTTAGCTTGCTGTAGAGCTTCCATAATCCTGGTGGTTCAAGATGCCTGATCCCTATGGATAGCCGTAAGCAAAAGTATTGGATGCTGAAGAAAAGAAGAAAAAAAAAGTCCCCGGCTCCCTATGTCTTTTATTTTCCTCTTTAATCACATTTTAACTCTATCTAAAATTTCTTGCTCTTATGAAACCCTTCCAGGATAATCTCATACCAAAGTTAGTAAGGACAGCAGGCCAGGTGCAGTGGCTTATGCCTGTAATCCCAGCACTTTGGGAGGCTGAAGCAAGTGGATCACCTGAGGTCAGGAGTTCGAGACCAGCATGGCCAACATGGTGAAACCTCATCTCTACTAAAAATACAAAAAATTAGCTGGGCATGGTGGCGGGTGCCTGTAATCCCAGCTACTTGGGGAGGCTGAGGCAGGAGAATTGCTTGAACCCAGGAGGCGGAGGTTGCAGTGAGCTGAGATTGTGCCACTGCACTCCAGCCTGAGTGATAAGAGCAAAACTCCATCTCAAAAAAAAAAAAAAAAGTAAGGACAACAATTTGGGAAGATTTCGTTTTTAGTATTGGAACAATTATAGACTAGAAAATCTGGCTTGGAGCACATCCACCCTAACCTTGTCCTTATCTGTACCTTTCTACCTCCCCTTTAACCCTGCCAGTGAGAGCTCAGCTTTGGCATGGTCTTTATTTGCTTCTTCAGCTTCTAATATGATCCTTCATCCTGTAGTTCAGTGCCTGTCTCCTCCCTTCTGTCTCAACATCCTTGAAGTGACTACTGCTTAATCTGATCCCTCCGATGTGGCCTTGCAACAACTTCTCAAAGAATTTCCCCATGGATAACACTTCTAGCACTTCTAAATCCATCCCAGAAGCCAGTCTTGAAAGACCAAATGTGAGAGAAAATGACCAAGTGTCAGGTTTACAGGCAATGAATGAACTCTTAGTAAGTATAACCTAGAGACAGCTTACTTGGCATGTCCTAGGCCTAGCGAGCCTCTACCTCTGTTCTGTTGCATTAGCTTTCTTTTTGTACTTATGAAATTTAACAATTTAATCCATAAACTTATGACAATCAGGGGGCCCAAAAGTGAGCCCATCTTTTGAGTTGTTCTTTTGAGCCATTGGGTATTTGACAATGGATGTGGAATCCACAGTAATAGTCACTTCAAATTATATTCAGCTTGCTACTTGTTTTACAGAGCTGGGGAACTGGTCTAACCTCAATTACTATTTCAGTGTCTTCCTCATACAAAGATTAGTCAGGGAATATATGAATGTAGAAATTCCTCTACACCGATCTTTGCTGCTGAGTTCATAATACAAGAAGAACGCCCTGTTAGTGTGGCCAGTGCTCTCCTTACATTACTAATTCTCAGAGTATTCGGAAGCTCAGATCAATGTTACCTGGATTATAGTTAGGTAGCTTGGAGACTCCCGGCCAAGTATCCTCTGTAGGAACTCCCAGCACCTATATAAAGCCAAACAAAGAAAAAGACAGGTGAGGTGGGGAGAAGAGGTGGATGGAAAAGGTATGGAGACATGCAGAACAGATAAGGGAAGAACCGATATATGTCCCATTGCATGACACTAGCTGATGTATACAGGAAAGAACTCTGAGTGTTTCCAACGTTTGTGGTTTCTTGGGCAAAACTGTAATACATTCCTATGGTCCTGGGCCTCCATTCTTACTGACTCACTTGTTCTGAGACAGATCATATAGCCTTGCTTAAAGTCATGTTCTCATCACTAAAGATTTACTGCATGATCATCATGCATTAAGACACCATGTTAGGAGCTAGGGATATAAAGAAGCAGGAGTGACTGTCTCTTTGCCTTACGTCAGATGACAATATGTATATTGACAGGAGACACTTGACAGCCTAAATTGTGCCTCAGTATGGGTATTCAGCTGTTCCCCAATGTGCTCAAATTAAAAAGGATTCAGATTACTGACCTTCACACAATGGAATGTTGGCTACAGATGACCCCAAAACTAACTCTAGTCCTTTCTATCACATTCATCTCATCTGCTTGTTTTCTCTGTGACTAGCAGCTTGGAATATGGTATTTGGTTTTTCACTAATGGATTGTCATGGAAACAACATCACTTGAAAAAGAGCTGGCCTATGCTTTGAATTACCGATTTTGTTTTTGTTTTGAGACGGAGTCTTGGTCTGTCACCCAGGCTGGAGTGCAGTGAAGCGATCTCGGCTCACTGCAAGCTCCGCCTCCCAAGTTCACGCCATTCTCCTGCCTCAGCCTCTGGAGCAGCTGGGACTACAGGTGCCCACCACCACACCCGGCTAATTTTTTTGTAGTTTTAGTAGAGATGGGGTTTCACCATGTTAGCCAGGATGGTCTTGATCTCCTGACCTCGTGATCCGCCCGCCTCGGCCTCCCAAAGTGCTGGGATTAGAGGCTTGAGCCACTGTGCCCGGCCTTTTTTTTTTTTGTATTTTTAGTAGAGACGGAATTTCACTGTGTTAGCCAGGATGGTCTCGATCTCTTGACCTTGTGATCCGCCCACCTCGGCCTCCTGAAGTGCTGGGATTTCAGGTGTGAGCCACCGCGCCCAGCCTTGAATTACCAATTTAAAGCCTTAGTTTTTAGTTAAGATGTATGAAAATAAAGTCTTTTGGAGTACAAAGCCCAAACAGCTCAGACTTTGGATGGAGCTACTGAGTTCCCCAGTAGGCAATACCTTAGTATTTTTTTAGAATAATCATAAAAGCCCATAGGCAGTCATATATGGTAGCTAGAGTAACATTGTTTTTGTGAACTACTAATAAAACACTAGTAGCTTTCATTACACTACTATAGTATAACTTTTCTTAGAAGCATATCTCACTATAACTCTTTTTAGAAACATCTCTTACAGAAAGAGTCTAGAGAATCCATCCGTAAAATGCTGGTTATAGATACTGGCCCAATTATTACGGCAGGGAGTCAATTGCCCAACAATGACTGAATATAATCAATGAAGAATCCAGAATCTTAATATCTATCAGCTTGTTGACTAGGACTCTGGCTGAGAGGTGTACTTTTTGGCATCTGTTAAGCTTGTCTTTAAACAAAAGACACTGAAGTGCTATTTTCCCTCATATAATAAAAAAATCATGCCACCCAGTAAAATCTTCCTTCTTTGATCCATTCCCTAAACAAACTAAAAAGCAACTGAGAGGATTACAGGCTTTTCCTATCAACCACCCTGAGCCCGAGGGAACACTAAGAATCCTGGAATCCATTTTGAAAAACCAACTGGACTAATTCTTCTTTTGTGGGAGAGGGCCAGGGGACAGGAAGCTAATTCTTCTTTTTGAACCTACCACCTTATGTATTTGCACAGATGCATGTGTAAACAAGGGGGTGTGAATCACATGTACCCATACATCCTCTGTTGGCTGGCAAAGTGCAATGAAAAGAAAGCAAATATAATGAAGAGAAAACAATAGAAGAAATACATAACAACCACTATCATGTTTTCTCTAAGGTGACAGTTACCAGATGGTTCGATACTTTGTATGATATTTAACTAAAGCCAACAAAATGGATACCAAAATTTTTTTTTTTAATCTTACGTTCAAAGCTTTAAGCTTGAGATTTTAAAAGTTTAAACAAAAATTCAATATACTTTATTTGGAAATTTGACCTCAGTTTCTATTTGAAAGTTATTGAATTCTTTTTCACTTGAGAAAATTACTAAATCTCTCCTTCACTGTCTGGGAAACTGAAAACCAAAAATTGTTGTTTTACTCCCTCCCTGAAGGCCCTTAAAAGGCAGCCAGTGAGTGCTATGTTTCAAACCACAGTGGTCTGAAGGGGCTGTTTATCTGCCTTTGTTGGAAAGGAAACTGAAAGCATTTTGATTAATGGATTTAAAGTTTGCATAGTTTTTTCTGATTTTAGAACTAAATCCAGGATTATTTATGAAAAACACTTATTTAAAACCAGTTTTTAAAATTGATCAGAAAGTGGTGACAGCTATTATTTAGATGTAAACACATACACTACAGGCATTTCAGAAAAATAGTAAAACAAAGATTCAGGACTTCTCAATGTGTTTTTATTCCTAAGAATGAGATCTCAGGATAAATGGAGAACAAATTTTGGTTAGAGGTTAAGAGATTTAGAATGGACCCATTGCTTTCAGACATGCACTTCTGACATCAAATATCACAGATTCTGAAGTAGCTTTCCTATTTTCATCTGTGTAGGCCATGTTTAGTAAAACACAAATTCAGGAACTATTTATAATCTGTATAATTTTCTAACCTGCTTATAGGCAACAAATGTGAAAATAGACAAATGCGAATAAATAAAACTAAAAAGTGTCTTCACAGCAAAAGAAACAATCAATAGAGTGAAGAGATAACCTATGATGGGAGAAAGTATTTGCAAGCCATACATTTGATAAGGGGTTAATATCAAAAAAATACAAGGAACTCAGTAGCAAGAAGACAACCCCATTAAAAAGTGGGCAAAGGGCTGGGCGCGGTGGTTCACGCCTGCAATCCCAGCACTTTGGGAGGCTGAGGCAGGCGGATCACCAGAAGTTGAGGGTTCGAGATCAGCCTGGCTAACATAGTGAAACCCCGTCTCTACTAAATATACAAAATTAGCCAGGTGTGGTGGTGCACACCTGTAATCCCGGCTACTCGGGAAGCTGAGGCAGGAGAATTGCTTGAACCCGGGAGGCGGAGGTTGCAGTGAGCTGGGAGCAAGCCACTGCATTCTAGCCTGGGCAACAGAGTGAGACTTGATCTCCAAAAAAAAAAGTGGGCAAAGCACTTGTTATGGTTTAAATGTTTGTGTTCTCTTCATAATTCATGTTGAAACTTTATCCTCAATGCAACAGTATTAAGAGGTGGGGCCTTCAGCGGGTGATTAGGACACAAGGACGGAGATGAATGCCCTTATAAAGGAGCTAGAGAGAATTAGCCAGGCCCGTTTGCTCTTCTGCCTTTCCACCACGTAAGGACACAGTATTTGTCCTCTCTGGAGGATGCAGCCACAAGGCACTAACTTGGAAGCCAAATCTCTCACTGGACAAGAGCATATAGTGAGTGCCTTGATCTTGGACTTTCCAACCTCTAGAACAGTGAGAAATAAATTTCTGTTCCTTTTTTTTTTTTGAGACGAAGTCTCACTCTGTTGCCCAGGCTGGAGTGCAGTGGCATGATTTTGGCTCACTGCAACCTCCACCTCCTGGGTTCAAGCAATTCTCCTGTCTCAGCCTCCCAAGTAGCTGGGACTACAGGCGTCCACCACCACACTCGGCTAGTTTTTGTATTTTTAGTAGAGATGGGGTTTCACCACATTGGCCAGGCTGGTTTTGAACTCCTGACCTCAGGTGATCCACCCGCCTCGGCCTCCCAAAGTGCTGGGATTACAGGCATGAGCCATCACACCTGGTCAATTTCTGTTCTTTGTAAAATGGCTGGTCTAAGGGATTTTGTTATGGTAGCAGGAATGGACTAAAAACCTCAATACACATTTCTCAAAAGAAGACCTACAAATGGTCAAGAGGTATATGAAAAAATGCTCAATATCATTAGTCATTAGACAAATGAAGACTAGGACCATGGTGAGATATTGCCTCACAACTATTATCAAAAAGATGAAAGAGGTGTTGGCAAGAATGCGGAGGAAAGGGAACATTTGCACACTGATGGTGGGCATGTAAATAGCATAGCCATTATGGAAGATGGTATGGAGGTTCCTCAAAATATTAAAAATGGAACTACCATATGATCCAGCAATCCCAATACAGGGCATATATACAAAGAAATGAAGTTAGTTTGTTATCTACAGTCCCATGTTCATTGAATGCAATTTTGTTATTGCATCTGTAGTTTCTTGCTCTGCGGACAAAGTGAGAAAGTCATCATGTTTCGCAGCTGCGTTATCATTTATACCACTATGTCTCAAGCAGGTTAGAAAATTATTATTTTTTCTCTTTCCAGCATAGTACCTAGCCCATTGTGAGTCCTAAAGAGTGATCAGGCCTTGAGAAGCATCTTGCTCACTTTATTCTATGATTTTTCTAAGTGCTGTGCTAACTATACACTAAAGAATCATAAAATGATTGCTTTTTAAATTGTATCGTCATTCAAAGATAGTATGTCATATTTTAAAGGGTTATTTTAAATTTATATTTATTATTATTAGAGATGGGGGTCTCACTACGTTGCCCACACTTCTGGGATCAAACGATCCTCCTGCCAGCCTCCCAAGCAGTAGGGACTACAGGCACACATGACTGTGCCTAACTGTATATTGTATTTTAAAAATCAGTTTACAAGACCAGGCACGGTGGCTCACGCCTATAATCCCAGCACTTTGGGAGGCCAAGGCAGGCAGATCATGAGGTCAGGAGTTTGAGACCAGCCTGACCAACATGGTGAAATCCTGTCTCTACTAAAAATACAAAAATTAGCCTGGCGTGGTGGCATGTGCCTGTAATCCCAGCTACTCAGGAGGCTGAGGCAGGAGAATCGCTTGAACCTAGGAAGTGGAGCTTGCAGTGAGCCGAGATCACACCACTGCATTCCAGCCTGGGTGACAGAGTGAGACTCTGTCTCAAAAAAACAAAAAGAAAAAAGAAAAAAAAAATCAGTTTATATACAACTCTTCAAATACTAATAGCACATAAGGATATACTTACATTTTTTTCAAATGAACTACTCTTCAAATATCCTAACAGCACATCTTATTTCACTATTACAATTTATATTAACTATCTTTAGATACATCCTTTTACACATATACATAGCTTATGTTTGTTTCACATATATTTACTTATACTTCACCATTGCTCTACCTAGACTGAACAACACTTGAAAATACAGATCATGTGTTTTTCTTATTCTGTTTTTTTCCCCTCTTGGCTTACAGCTTCTTACAAGACCTTGTAGAGTCTTATAGAGTTACCTTATATATGGTGAATAACCACTAAGTGTTGTTTCCTGATTAAATGACCAGGAAAAACTCTGCAAATGTATAAAAGGTCATTGCAGTATCAGAACTGCAATTGTGCTTCCTCTATTGTGGACAAGAAGTAATACTGCTAAGTGAAAGAAGAGAACACTCAGGTTAAATTTCAGGTAATATTTGCTAGCAGTTAGGTTACTGAAACATCGTACAACAATTTGTATGAGACAGGAAGAAAGCAAACATCTATTGAGCATTTATGGTGCATGGAGCTTGTTTTGCATTTGTTCTCATGGAATTCTCAAAGCAAGAATTAGAAAGTCCTTATCACTGTTCCCATTTTACAGACAACGAAATGAAAGTTCAGAGGGACTACATAACTTGCTTTTGTTCATTTAGCTAGAAAATGGCTAGAATTCAAACCCAGGTCTTCTGACTTCAGAGCTATTACAGTAGGCTGTCTCCAGCTTAGATGATGTTATAGCACCTTTCTTCACAATGTGAAGAAAGGATTTCTCTGCCTTGCAAGGACGTTTTTAGAAAAAGTCTTTTGGCTGTGATTTTTTTTTTTTTTTTTTTAGTTGTGAATGCTTCCCAGTTTTTCCCATGTTCCTTCATAATAGCCCCCATGTTTCTAGAAGAAAATTTAATGTCAGTAATTAATCTCTATAAAATGTCTTAATTTCACAAAGTACATTTTATTTTAGCCAGAAGACAAAGAGCGGGATCCAGGATAGCAAGTAATAAAGTACCCCCCTGCACCCTGCCGATTTAAAGCACCTTGACACTTTCTACAACATGGATGAACCTTAAAAATATGCTAAGTGACATAAGTCAGATACAAAAAGACAAATTTGTATGATTCCACTTATATGAGATACCTAGAAGAGGCAAATTCAGGGAGACAGAAAGTAGATTAAAGGTTACTAGGGGCTAGGGGATGGAAGATGGGCAGTTATTGTTCAGTGGGTCCAGAGCTTCCGTTAGGGATGATAGAGAAGTTCTGGAAATGGATGGTGGTGATGGTGGCGCAAGTATACGAATGTACTTAATGCCGATAAGCTGTACACTTAAGGAGGGTCAAGATGGTAAATTTCATGTTTTATATATTTTACCACAATAAAAATATGACCAAAAAAGGATATACAGATGACTATCGTATGACTGTAGTATTATATAAGGGCCATAAAAACAAAGCATATCGTAGGCAAATGAGGTAGGGATAAATAATGAATGAAGACATGGAGCCACATACACACACAAAGGCACCTTGACACTTTAGGAACTTGGTTGTGGATAAGCATGATAAATGGTACACTTCTCTCACACTAAGATGAAAAGCCTCTGTTCTATCAGGGTTCTATGAAAATTCTGTGTCTTTATTTTGGTTGCCCAGCCTGGAGTGCAGTGGCATTGTCATAGCTAACAGCAGCCTCGACCTCCCTGGGCTCAAGCAATCCTTCCATCTCAGCCTCCTGAGTAGCTGGGACTAAGGTGTGCGCCACACAGCCCACTCATTTCTGTATGTTCTTGCAGAGACGGGGTTTTGCCATGTTGCCCAGGCTGGTCTCGAACTCCTGGGCTCAAAGCAATCCCAAAGTGCTGGGATTACAGGCATGAGCCACTGTACCCAGTTGAAAATTCTCTGTCTTATTTTCAGTTGACAAAGATCCAGGGCCAAATATATGGTAGCATTAGAACTGGAGGTAGCAAAGTAGGGGCGTGTCTGAGTAGTAATGGCAGAAATTGCCCTGGGGAGGTTAAGACAATAATAATGATGGGTAGCAGGAGACCTGAATGTCATTCAGTGAGCTGGATTCATGGGCTGCTATGGGGCAACAGGGAGTTTCCTGACCACACATTCCCAGAGTGCTTATAGCTGTGGCAAATGCTACAGTTTCTACAATCTTAATATATGGCTTAATATCTCAAAGCAGATGGACTGCTTCATTTGTCTGTAAGGCAAATTTGGTTCAAAACTTAAAATGCAGATATTCCATTTTCTTTACAAGAATTCTTCTCTTACCTCCCAGATTTTCTCCAGCTGTTCAAGGATGTTGGAAACCCCAGGAAACAAAGGTTGACCCTGGAACATTTCAATAAAGATGCAGCCTGCACCCCTAGCAAAGGAAACAAGAGTAAATTGACACTTTGAAAGAAATCATACAAGCGAAACTGAACTACTAGAATTTCTCCTCCCGAGAAATATTTTAGGGAGAGTTAAATAGGGACCACATGATATTAAAAGTCTTGGGCCAAAAAAAAAGTCCCCATGTCAAACAAAAATAAGAACAGCCCACAGCTTTTTATTAAAATGGAACACCACGAGAAGCAGTTAGGAAAGCAGTAGAGTTAGCAAACATTATAGATCATTCAAGCTCGTTATCTGTTTTAGGAGAAGAGGGGAAGGTTCTGCACCCCCAAATTTCATTTCATCCCCACTTTTCATTGAGTCTAAGATGCTATCATTGTAAGAAGCATCATTGGATTTTTGCCATTAAGAAAAAAAAATGCAAGTTAAACTATGATGTGATCGGAATGTTCATTTTATACTTATTAAAGGGCTGTTATAAATTTAATTAAATGTAGATTATTTTCTCATATTGCATACTTGTACATGAAAAAGAGAAACATTAAGCAAAATAAATTGGTTTAGGTATTCCTAAAACTTTTCCACATTCAGCATTTGACTCAGACTCTTTGATGTCTACACTTATCTATGTATCATCCTCTATATTAAGAATTTGATGATGCAGCATTTCTTAAAATAATCCATAAAACAACTGAGAGTCATCGGTCCTGGGCTCCTAAGCTGGCCTAGCAGTTATGTAGTGTTAGCTTACTTCTGACTCCTGCTTAAAGAATGTTGCTAAACATGTCTGATTTGCTCCTTCCCCACAACAATTTGGTTCCTAGGAATTTAAAAAAAAAAAAAAAAAAAGAGGACTTCTGTTTGCAGAGTTTTCTTCCAAGTTGCTGACACCGATTCTGCAATTTTTTTTTTTTTTTTGGTGGAATCTTGCTCTCTCGCCCAAGCTGGAGTGCAGTGATGCAATCTCAGCTCATTTTAACCTCCGCCTCCCAGGTTCAAGCGATTCTCCTGCCTTAGCCTACCAAGTAGCTGGGATTACAGGCAGCTGCCACCATGACTGGCTAATTTTTGTATTTTTAGTAGAAACAGGATTTCACCATCTTGGCCAGGCTGGTCTTGAAATTCTGGGCTCAAGCAATCTACCTGCCTAGGCCTCCCATAAAGCTAGGATTACAAATGTGAGCCACTGCACACGGCCTGACATACACTGTTTAGATTACTTTTCATTGATTGTGTAGGAGAAAGTAGATTTATTGACAATCAAGTTTAAAAACTGCTTTGTTTCTGGTTTGGGAACAGAGTACATATTAAAAGAAAGAGTGAAATTTATTTGTATCTTATCCTGTAAAAATAGACAAAAACTCTTTTCATAATCTAATATTTGGTTTTAACTTAACTGACTGGTTTGTTCTTAGAGTTTTGCTTAAAAAATTATATCAGAGTGAGCTTTGCAAGCAGGTTTGTCCTCCATGAAGCAACAGGTTGTTTTTATTGCCAATTTTTTTTTTTTTTTTTTGAGACAGGGTCACTCAGGCTAGAGTGCAGTGGTGCAATTTCAGCTTACTGCAACCTCCACCTCCCAGGTTCAAGCAATTCTCCTGCCTCAGCCTCCCGAGTAACTGGGATTACAGGCATGCACCACCATGCCTGGATAATTTTTGTATTTTTAGTAGAGACAGGGTTTCACCATGTTGGCCAGGCTGGTCTCAAACTCTTGGCCTCAATTGATCCACCTGCCTCAGCCTTCCAAAGTGTTGGGATTACAGGCATGAGCCACCATACCCAGCCTTATTGCCAATTTTTAAAAAGCCCCATTTTATTCTTTTTCTTTTTTATTTTCTAAGATTTTTTATAGAGACGGGATCTCACTATGTTGCCCAGGCTGGTCTTGAACTCCAAGCCTCAAGCAATCCTCCTGCCTTGGCTTCCCAAAGTACTGGGATTACAGGTGTGAACCACCATGCACCTGGCCTATTTTTTCTTTTCTACTGATTTTTGCTGTATAAGAAACATCTTGACATGTGATACAAGAATTTTGATCAGATAAATTTAACTTATGAATCTGGTAGAGTATCTTGAGGTAAATTTGTAGAATTATTGTTATTTTAAAGTTCCTCATTAACTTGTGTTTAAATATCCACGTTCTTTTTGTCTCCTGTCTTTAAAACAAGAGATATTAAGGGTATAAATGAAACAATATATGAAGGCGAATAAAAGTGATGGAAAACTGTCAAATGCTTAAAAACACCCTGGTTGCTAGCAATGATCCACTAAGAGATAAGCCAACGGAGAAACCTAGTTCGTGGGCGCCACCAAATGGTCTCCACCCTGCCCCCTGTGACTTCTCCACTTGCACTTTCTTGAAAGGCCTCACACCATTTTGTTTTGAAGTAAAAATAAATACATGTCTGTGTATATAAAATACATACATAATTGGCGTATTACTTGGTTATGAAATAGAAATGGAAATGTATTGGCTTTTAAAGGCATGAACTAACCCTCTATCCAGTTCCCAAACACCTCCCAGAAACCCCAGGAGCTCACAAACCACTAGAAGGATTGAAAACATTTTAAACAAGGTTCAAAAAATGACATTCCTAGGTTTAAACCTGTAATTCACTTTCTTTTCTCCCCCAAAAAGCCTTCCATTGCCTGGAAGAAGCCTGTTGCCTTTTCATGGTGTGTTTTTTTTGTTTTGTTTTGTTTTGTTTTGTTTTTTTGAGACGAAGTCTCGCTGTGTTGCCCAGGCTGGAGTGCAGTGGAGCGATCTGGGCTCACTGAAAGCTCTGCCTCCCGGGTTCACGCCATTCTCCTGCCTCAGCCTCCCGAGTAGCTGAGACTACAGGCGCCCACCACCATGCCCGGCTAATTTTTTTGTATTTTTAGTAGAGACGGGGTTTCACCATGTAGCCAAGATGGTCTCGATCTCCTGACCTTGTGATCCATCCGCCTCGGCCTCCCAAAGGGCTGAGATTACAGGCATGAGCCACCGTGCCTGGCCGATGTGTTTTCATACTTATAGCTGTAGGGAACCAAGAAGTCATTTTGTTACACAATTCCTTATGTCGTGTCATTTACCTTCTATACCACTAAAATTGTATACAAAATTATGTAAAATATATTGGCAAAAACTACAGCACTCAGACCATTATGTAAGTACCATAAAGTAACATAAGATGTTTGTGTTCCAGAGATATAATGCCAATATTTGGTTTATATACTTGAAATTCTCCATTTGCATTTTGGGGAAGGTTGAAACCTTCCTTATCTAACAAATCTAAGTCTAAGGTTACTCATTTATACACACACACATGCACACACACTATATAGTGTGTGTGTATGTATGCACTTGTGCATGCCTTTAGAACACTTACAAAATTCCTAAATCAATTTTATTTCAGTACATGGACTATCCATAGGTACCATAAATATCAATGCATTGAAAACAAAGTAAGTCCACACTGTAAGTTTGAAAGGTGACAGATCTGTTCTAGGTGTAAGCATTGTAATCCCACCACTTTGGGAGGCCAAGGCGGGTGGATCATGAGGTCAGGAGTTCAAGACCAGCCTGGCCAACATGGTGAAACCCCGTCTCTACTAAAAATACAAAAATTAGCCTGGCATGGTGGTGTGTCCCTGTAATCCCAGCTACTCAAGAGGCTGAGGCAGGAGAATTGCTTGAACTGGGGAGCCGGAGTTTGCAGTGAGCCTAGATCGCATCACTGCACTCCAGCCTGGGTGACAGAGCCAGACTCCATCTCAAACAAACAAACAAACATACATACAAACAAAACTATGCAATTTATCTTATTTTTTTCATTTCTGTTCAGAACGGTTTTTGTTTTTTTTTTTTTTAATTTGCTTCTTGGCCCTTAAGAATACAAGTCATGTGGCTATCATCTATTTTGCCCACCACAGACTATTGTTAAAGTAAACATTTTAAATATACTGAACATTCAAGTCCAGATAGGGAACTAGCTTCCACTTCCTTTTATTTTTCTATTTTGTTCTTAAATCTTCATTCCTGGGGCTCCTCTTACCCTACATATCTTTAAGCTTCTCCGAGGATTTCTGCTCTGTGGAGATACCCCTGGGGCAGCCCGTGTAGATGAAGGGGAAATGCATATGCAAGGGAGAAAAGACCTGGTGACATCAAACATTAAACCCTTCCAGAAGGGAGAGAAGCGCTGGATCATTTTATGGTTCCAACTGTGGTTCTTCAGTCAAGTTAGAGGAAACTGCTTACATGTTTTCTCCTCTTTCTGGTTCTCCTTCTACTTTTTCTCTATTCTGAGCATGAACAAATTCTTCCATAAGAGGGGGAAAGATTCCTCAGATTCCTTAGGCAATCCCTGGAGAAAAAAACCATCTCAGGAGTTTTAGGCTTTTTGGAGGTGCAAGGAGCATATCAAAATGTTGTCGGGAGAAATGAATCAGTATTTCATTTTTTACTGTTGAAGTTAATTCAGAATAACGTAATATATGGCAGTGACATGACATTCTCACTTGCTTTTCTCTAGACCACTCTTTTTATATTTGGAAGTTTGCAGCAAGAAATTTGACAGTAAAGAATCTGTTAGGTGGAGACAACTTTCTCTAGTCCGAAAACCAGCAGCTGCCTGAAACTGATACTGAATAGACGACCTTGTGTACTGAAATAAATGCTTCTTGAAAACTCAGTGTACTATGACATGGATGAACCTTGAAAACGTTATGCTAAGCAAAACAAGCTGGACACAGAAGAAGTATTGTACGATTCCACTTATATGAGGTACCAAGAATAGTCAAATTCATAAAGATAGAAAGTAGAATAATGGTTACCAGGGGCTGAGGAGAGGTGGTAATGGGAAATTATCGTTTAATATGTTCAGGGTTTGAGTTTGGGATGATGAAAAGTTCTGGAGACGGACAGTGGTGATGGTTACAACAACAATGTGAATGTACTGAATGCCACTGAATCGTACACTTGAAAATGGTGATGAATGGTAAATTTTATGTATATTTTAACACAATACAAAAAAACTAAAA